AGAGTTTTTTTTTCAAGACAATTCATTTTTGGTCCGAGTCCTCTGAGTTTTTGAAAGCAGCCCACAGTTTGGATGATTTATTGTTTCGGTTGGATTTTGTAGCCACGAATTCACGATTTAACTGTTTGGTTTGCCTCCAGTACTATTTCTTACCGTGAATATGACCGTCCCTTCTCAATTCCTTCTCTTCTTCAGGGAAGGCCAACCACAAAGAAGAGTCTCTCAAGATCATGGGTGACGTGGCCTCTGGCACCGGTAGCTACGTCGCTCAGGCCTATCTAAAGGACATAATGGAATCCTTCTTCTCCCCCTCACCCTCCGTGCGTCTCACCTCGCTCTCCGTGATCACTACAATTCTGCGCCAGGGTCTGATTCATCCTGTGCAAACAGTGCCCTACCTCATCGCTACGCAGACCGATTATGATCCGAACGTGCGTTTCAAAGCAGAAACCCAGCTTCAAGAGATTGACAACAAATTTCCAGGCTTCATAAGTGTGAGTTGTTTCTGCCTCAATGTCCCCTCTTTTCTCTCGCCATGCACCCTTGGGCCAGCTAAGGGTATCGAAGGGTCGTTGTTGTAGAACATTTCGTCACCTTGCTAACCAACTGTCACGTAATAAAAAAGATCCTATCGTCACGCCGGTCGCAGCTTCGCTTTGGGTAGTCGGTATGCCAGTAGCTTTTTTAAATCGTTTCGCGGTAAAAGTGACAGTCTGGGTGATAAATAGCCGCCCGCACGCCTGCTCGCAGTGGCCTTCTTTGCAAGCTGCTTTCCCAAATGTTTTACTGCATTCTTTGTATCTAAACTGACAATGGCCTCGAGGTTTTCGCTGTTCTACCTGCAGTTACTACGTAAAGGCGGTGCCTAACATGTAACACAGCTATTAGCCAGGTAGTGTGATTATCAGTAGTAATTTTCAATATTGCTTCTATATCGAGTTGGCCGCAGTCACCGCGTTGCTTCAGCTTGCTGAGGCTCGTAGCGGACACCATCCAGAGCGAACTTCGAACTGTGGGTGATTTTCAATCCTCTTCGTGTGTCGGATTGTCATATTGGCATAGCAGGACTAAATCGTAGGGCCGCTCAATTACAAAAGTCTCCCAGCCTAAGCGCGTGACAGAATTCGTAGGTAAAGGATAAATACCCGATCAAAGGTCATGTGCTGCGTAGTAACTGCGCCGTAGGAAATATGATGAGGCCTCTTGTAACTGTTTTACTGAACAAAAAATATGACTGAAAGGCACGCGAAAAGAATAAAAAGACCAAGAGAACCA